TGGTCCATTTATTGGTATTGATTATTCTTCTATTGTTATCAAGCAATGTAATAAGATAAAGAAAAATAATAATTTTTATTATTTAACATTAAATATGATGCAAAAACAAAAGCCTTATTTACCAATTAATTCATTTGGTTTAATAATTGATAAAGCAACAACAGATGGAATACTTAATAATAACGAACATCTATCTAGTATTTCAACTATGTATGAACATGTATCAAATTTTCTTTCTTCACATGGACTTTTTATTATTATTACAATTAAAACAATTGATGATAAAGAATGGTTTGAAGATTGTTTGATACCATCTCTTATTCGAGGTAGTCAAAATCAACAAACAAAATTTATTATTCATTTTCATCGATGTATGACATATACGGATGGAACTGAAAATGGTCCAAATATTTTTGTTATTGTTAAATACGATTGTAAATCGTATTCATTACGTTCCTCAACAAATCGAGTAAAACAAGGATTATCTCAAACAGTAACTGTTAAATGTTACTAGTCATTTTATCATAAATAAAAACAAACAAGAAAAAATACTATTAGGTTAATAAATGAATGTCATTGTTTTCATTATCATTTTAATTTTAAGAAGGAAGTATCAGTCATATCAGACGTCTAAATAGACATACTTTTTTGTACCTTTGACTTACTCATGACAGATTATGAAGCTGAACAGTCTACAACAAAATAAGTATGAATCACGTAACATCAGATTTAGTCAATGATTCATAGAAGCTACTAATAATCATTGATAAGAAAGTACGAACAGTTACTTAAGGAAATTGATAAACAAACTATATACATAAATGGACAATAAACAATGTAGTTACAAAATCTACAAGTAGTTATGATTATGTCCAGTCATATTAATAACCAAAAGAAAAACACGCAAATATTTTATTCAAAATTTAAAAAAACATGACAAACAGACGATTGGTCTAGTCCATGACATGCTCAAAAATCAAGGCTTGTAATTGTCTCGAGCAGGTAACCAAGCAAAATCGATAGCCTATTTTGAGCTCTGATTTATAAGCATTAATAAAAAGAGTATATTATGTTTTCATATATTTAACAGGTAACTTAGCGGTACACTTTGCTTTTGTTGCTCAATGTTAGTCAAATGGAATTAATTTTTCAAATCATTTTAATTCATTGAAATTAGTATTGTTTAATTTTTGTAATAACGATATATTTTGTCAATATTGTGTTTACGAAAATATATTCAACATGACAACTGATAATTTATTCTTTCATTGGGTTTAATAATATGATTGTAATTTGACTTATATTAGCATTGATTTTGATTTTATTTGATGCATACAATAATGAAAATGTACATGAGCTTGACATCGAGTACGAATATGTAGTTTAGCAGTAGTCATTTCTTGTAAAAGACATCTGTACATACCATATTGAATATCAATAATCTTTTATATAAAGAAGATTTTGTTCTAGGAAAAAAAATTTCCAGCTCTACATCCGTTTTTCTTCTAAGAAAACAAAATTTGTGAATATTCAGTTTCCTTATTTATTTTGATGCATTTGTAAAAACTACGATCGATGTTTAACCTTTTACTCTCTACTGGTCCCTGAAGTGAACATTTATAGATCGATTACAAAAAAAAACTAAATGATGCATAAAATTTCCAAGCATCAAAAAACATATTTTGCAATAAACTTTATGAGCTATCAATTGATAAAAAACGGAACTTTTCATTCCATCGTTCCATCTTCAAAATTTCGGGCTTACAAAATCGATAATTTTAAAAAAATGAAAAAAGTTGAAATTTTCCTAAACGAAATATTCTCTATCATCAATAAATGAAGATCTCTGAAACTTGTTGTGTGATATGATTAATATAATTTTCGAAAATTCCACGATAGCTTAACAAATTATAGATAATCAAGAATAGAGTTAATATATGCATTGTAAATTTCATCACGTGAGAAGTTGACATGATAATATTTACTATGAGTGTGATGTCTTTAGTGAATATATGATTTCTCAAAGACAAATAAGTGACTATTTAACAATACGTGTCAAAAGCACATATTGTTTCAAAATTAGTTCTTATGTATTCACTCGTTCCTTTAATACCATGAGACATAAACTGCTTTCACCCCTTCAATACTACCATGAAAGAAAAAAAAATCATGGTTCCTCAGATTGTTTAATTCCCATTTTCTACCACATGATCATTCGAATAACTAAAAGAAGGACACCCAATGAATCTAACTACGCCATTAGCATATCAGAGTGACTAATATTCTATTTATAAGTTTATTTTATCAGTAGCTCTTCTGAAGCTGCTGTAGAAGATAAAGAATTAAGGTTATTAATAAATTAATTTAGTAAAGTTGTCTTATTTCGTATAACTTATTCAAGATTATTACATAACATGAAGAATAAATGTCAAAAGCATTTCCTTTTTCCATTGATTCAAATTTAAAAATTAACAAATTTTGTTTTTTTTTTGTTTTAAATATTCATTATTCTTATTGACGACTTTATTCTATAGTAAAGCAAGTATTTATCAAAACAAAAAAATAATAATAAGATCTATCTACATGAATAATGAGATAAGTAGAAAAAAAAAGAGTGTAACATAAATTGAAAAATTTTTCGGCTATCATTTTTAAACAAACAAATTAGGTATTGCAATTGTAACAAAAACAAAACTAACAAGTGTACAGAAAAAAAGAAAAAACAACTTTTTTTGTTTGTTTGAGATGTACATATATGTTAATATTCTTTGAGTTTTGCTCGATTATCACTGTCTAGGACGATTCATATTGAAAGACATTATCAGTCGTACGAAAGCAATTAGCAAATAAATAATGTACATAAAGCACACGTAAAAAATAGGAATGTAGAAAATTTCGTTTCGGTTGTTGTTGTTATTTTCTTTTGATTTGTTCAACTCAATTTAAGAATATCATCAAATAATGCTTTTGCTGTACGAGCAATATTAACAGCATGTTCATTCATTTTATTATAATTTCGTTGTCGAGCAGTTTCAATTAATGAAACAACTAAACTTGAAAAATGATTATAACGTTGTTCGGACTAAAAAATTAAAATTGTAAATATTTTAATTGAATAATATATCAGAAAAAAGAAACAACAATATTAACCATTTCTTTAATTGATGTTGGTGCATAATCAAGTGTTTGTAAAAGATCACGAACAGCAATAGCAATATTTTTAACTAATTGTATTTGTTCTTTATCATTTATTGGTGATAATGGACGATTATATTTTGATGATATACCATTATTGATATCAACTTCATTTTGACGTGTTAGTGCCAATACAGCACTAACAATTTGTTTCGTTTGTGAATGAAATAAATCAATTAATCCTGATGATAATATTGGACATTGTTCTTTAGATTTCGTTGGTTTAAAATCTTGAAAGTCTTTATTATCATATAGTGACAGCTATAAAGAAAATAACAAAATTTTAAAATATACTTGAATTATTAAGAAAAATTACTGTATTTCCAGTCGAACTGCGATATTGAAGACTGTGACTAGATTCACTTCGTCCTGTAGTAATTTTGTTATTACTGACTAAATTAAGAAAAATAAACATATGTATATATTAATGTTCAATATGAGACTATTTCCAAATAGGGACTAAGCAAAGCATTCCAATCAAAACTCATATCTACTTCTAAAAGATATTAAATTCGAGAAATTTTTTCAACGCAATCTGTGTGACATTATGATGTAAAAAAACAATAAAGTTACTTTATTGTCAGACAAGAAGATTTACACAACTGGTGGATAAATAGAGAAAGTAGCGTGTAGATAACAATTTTGAAGTTTTCGATCTAAGCTATTCGATATTAGTATTAGCTGGTAGAATGGAAGACCCGAGATTAA